AAACTGCGCTAGTTAAAATTACAAATGATTAACTTTTAGCTTCTGACCAAGGCTGTATCTCAATACTAGTCCTACTTGATCTTAGTGCTGCGTTCGACACTATAGATCATAAAATACTCTTGGATCGACTACAAAACTACACTGGTGTTCAGGGACAGGCATTAAGCTGGTTTAGATCGTACTTATCGGACCGTTATCATTTTGTCTGTTTAAATGGGAAAAAATCAAAGATAACGTCAGTAGACTATGGAGTACCGCAAGGATCGGTTGTAGGCCCTCTGCTATTCTCAATATATATGCTGCCACTTGGTAATATTATAAGAAAACATGGAATTAATTTCCACTGTTACGCTGACGACACTCAATTATATATTTCATCATGACCAGATGAAAACACTAACTCATCTAAAATGACAGAGTGTCTCAAAGATATAAAATGCTGGATGACGCGTAATTTCCTGCTATTAAATTCAGATAAAACGGAGGTATTACTTATTGGTCCAAAAAAACTACTCACAAAACTTCTTACAATACAACTTTAATATAGACGGATGTCCTGTTACTTTATCCACTACAGTAAAAGACCTGGGTGTTAAACTAGACCGCAACTTCATCATATTTCATATGTTACAAGAACAGCCTTTTTCCACCTTAGAAACATTGCTAAGCTACGTAACATGTTATCTATTTCTGATGCAGAAAAATTAGTTCACGCATTCATGACCTCGAGACTAGATTACTGTAATGCTTTATTAGCCGGTTGTCCTGCATCCTCAATAAACAAGCTACAGTTAGTACAAAGTGCAGCTGCTAAATTGGCTGCTGAGTTTGAACAGGAGAGTCACAAATGATGCGCGTGCATCACAGAACAGAGCAAGGCGATCATTTGAGCTTATAAAATTTTAAACTTTTTTTTTTTTTAAATGAGCAATCGTTTCGCTTAATAAGACCCTTATTCATTGTCTAGAATCATTTAAAGCACTTTGAGCAGTTTTCAGTTTGCACTGAAACTTTCTTTTGGACCTTGAACCGTTTGGCTACCTGTAAAGTGCATTATATGGAGAAAAATGAACATAGACATCTTGGATGACATGGGGGTGAGCAAATTATCAACAAAAGTTGTTTTAAAAGTGAACTACTCCTTTAAGTTTTACAGACAAAATGAAACTGTTTACAGTAGGTCAGTCGGTTGTGAATCTCACAACTGAACCTTAATACTGGGCATCTTTTTAATAAATGAATAAAAACAAACAAACAGAAGCATTCTTGCACTCACTATCATTCATCTGAGGGTTTGAATTCTTTATGTAGGCTGAAAACTTGGAGAACACATCAAGGCCTGCAGTGTTAGATTCAGGATTGCGAGCTGCCAGCCGTGGGTATCTGTGTCATAGAGAGGGATGTAGAAGAGGAGGACAGTTAGTAAACATAATGAGACGGAATACACATACAAGCACAGTGATATATGGAGCCACAGAATGATGGGAAATAAATGAGTTACTTAGGAGGGCAGAGGGTTTCCTCCAGGAACTCTTCTATCTTGTTGGTGTCCGTCTTCACCTCTGTACCGTACAGCAGGAAAGGGGGCTGAGCACCAGGGGCCAGATCTTTAAGAATGTCTGGCTTCCTAGTCACAAAAAAGAGAAATAGCACTACTTTTGAAAAACACTGTAAACATTTTGTGTAGGGCTGTGCAAAAATTAATTGTGATTAATCGCATCCAAAATAAAAGTCTGTGTTTACATAATATATTTGTGTGTGCTAAATATAATTATTTTGTATATATAAATACCTATGCATGCATGTATATATTTAAGAATTATTTAAGCTTAAATTCTGTATATATATATATATATATATATACACATAATCTATATTATATAAATATAAATATTTTATATATGAATAACATATTTTCTTAAATATATACATGCATGTGTGTGTATTTATATATACAAAATAATTATATACAGCACACACAAATCTATTATGTAAACACAGACTTTTATTTTGGATGCGATTAATCGCAATTAATTTTTGCACAGCCCTAATTTTGTGGCAATTTTCTGCATGGATGGAATACCCAGATGACCTATTTGATTTGCCAAAAGCACACTGCTCGAGATACCACAATACAAAGCACTTGACCTTCCATTTCCAACATGAATGAAAATCTCTTTTTTTATTAGACCAACAATTTTAATTTCTGGAAAGCTGTGACAACATTGTAAGATACCATTACAAAAAAGAAGTATACTTTGAGTACATTTGATGAAGCATAATAATACTTGAGTGTAATAATACTGAATGAAGTATACTTAAGTAATGTTTATTTTATTTATAAGTATATATAAGTATATTTTAAGTATACTTTATGTAGTAAGTATACTAACATCAATGTGTACTTGTGTACTATAAGTGTAACAGTATTAAATTAAGTACACAACTAAGTTTCTCATTTGTAATGCAAATGTATTACAAGTGAACATAAGTATACTAGTAGAAGAAACTAGTAGTTTAATACTTTAATACAAGTAGACCATTTTTTAGTTTATGAAAGTATACACCTAAGTGTACTCTCAGTAAACTACTAGTTTAGTAGTTTATACTGCAAGTATACTTGTAAGGTGTATAAAGGCCAATTTTGTAAGATGTATAAAGGCCATTTCCCAGGCCAAGCAGGGAGAGTGGATGAGATGGGAGATTGTGGAACAATGCAAGATGAGCTGGCAAGACCTTTGGTCAATGGAAGAGAGTAGGATCAATTTCCTTATCAGGTCAAAATATGATGTTCTCCCATCACCACTGTTAGATTTTGGTGATGCCGAGCAGTGGTTTCAATGGCTCGCCAATGTATTGGATTCCTCCAATACATAAAATAAGTAAGCTTGACCAGTTCTTATGGGGAGAAGAATTTATTGAAGGTTTGTAGTGTAGCAGTCTTTCAGCAGCGATGTTATCATGTCACCCTTCAACAATCTTAACCAATGTTCTGTCTGTGAGACAGAACTTTATACATGAAGATTATGGGCTACAAACAGTAGAAACCTGTTAGGACCATCCCACAGGAGATGCTAATCCACACTGAGCTATGCTGAGTCTTTGTCATTCACACCAATCAGTTTCTGTGGGCCATACATCTGTATGGGCCATTTGACACACACCTTTGCAGACACAGACAGAGTGGATTAATTATGATACACCGTCACAATGTAAATGAATCTGATAACTGAAAATACAAAATCTATCACCACAGAACCTAAACCTCTGGGTAGGAGAGGATCCCTCTTGTCCTTTGTTCATCACCTGCCACATTAAGGCACATTTTGACAGGATGTAAGGTGGCACTTAGCCAATGTCGGTTTACTTGGCGCCATACTGCGATGTTTGGCTTTAGCATCGGAAGGCAAGTGCAGTATGACCAATAAGTTGCCACCTGTTCTAGCAAAACATCACATACAGAAGACAATATTTCTCCAATTCTCAACCAGGACAACTGGAAGCTGCAAGAGACTGGAAAATGCTGGCTGATCTTGATCAACGGCTTATTTTTCCACCTGAGATTGCCACCACTAACCTCCGACCAGATATTACTTTGTGGTCTGGATCAGCTTGCATTGCTCAACTGATAGAGTTAACAGTGCCATGGGAGGATGCTGTAGATGAGGCATATGAGAGGAAGAAACTGTGTTATGCTCATCTGGCCACTGAAGCAGAACAGCAAGTTTGGAGAGCTCAGGTTTATCCAGTGGAAGTGGGTTGTCGAGGATTTGTGGCGCACTCTACAACCCGGTTCTTCAGAGACGTCAGATTCAGTGGCCAAGAGTTGTGTTGCACAGTAAAGAACTTATCTGAAGCAGCAGAAAGGAGCAGCAAACTGGCTGTGGTTGAGACGGAAATATTCTGTCTGGCTGTGTAAGACCGCCACACTACACTTTTAATTGTTGAAAAACTCGAAGAGTCTGTTGTTTATTGGTATAGTTTGCAATAGTAATTACAGTTATTAGGTTTCTGTGTATATTGCATGAATGAGGGTTGGTGTTTGGGCAGATATTGTGTTTTGCGCTAGGTAGTATGCCATACAGAACCATTGCCACTAAACCTAGTTTAACGAAGACAGTGGGGCTCGACAGCCTTAGTCAAACGGGTTGGCGTGTATGGTTGGGTTGTGGAGAGATTGCACGATTGTGGATAGGTCACATATGAACTACGAGGAAGGAGCAACATCAGCAGCAGGAGGGATGTAAAGGTCAGTAAGCTGAAACTGAGTTTAGTGGGGGACGCAGGGGGGATGACTCTGTGAAGCCAGAGTCACTGTCGAGTCCTCTTGAGGTTTCGTGGGTTAGTCGACGAAACACTGAGGATGGAAGGTGCCCACTTGAAGACCAGTGTTTCCCCTACCATTGGTTTAGGGGGGCGGCCCCAGTCATAAAAAAGGAATTTACTGTATATTTTCGAGGAGTAAATAGAAAAAGCGGTTCAGTACACTTGAAATCA